TGAGATATCAAAAAAGTACTCCAGAGTGTTGTTCAGCATGGGGGTGAGTAGAAAATGAAGGCTAATCATGTTTTGGGTGTACTATTCCTTTAAGTTAAAATCCATGTCTGTTTTATGTGCTCCTTGCACATATCTAAGGAAATCCCAATAAAACCCATAAAGATTGCGGCAAAAGTAAACAATGTATAAACCACATGTCTCTAATTTGCAGACATATTTAAAACAAAGTCAGTTAAAGCAATTCAAATTGGTCTTACCTCACTGTGTGGCAAACTGTGGTGGAAGCCCACCATGTCTGAAACTAGCTTTTCTGATCTTGTTGTGTAGAGTCGTCTGGGGATCTGAAAAATAGAAAAATAAGCATATTTTAGTTTTTTGCTCTTCAAAATTTTGTTAAATCCTCAGATCTGCTACAAAGAAATCTACCCTCTACAAAAAAAAAGTGGCTCTCAGGTCAGAGGTGAAACCTACAAAGCAGAAATCGGGGGGAGGGGGTTGCTTTGGAGAATTTGTGTGTTATTGAGAAGTTGACAGCCTCAGTGCAGCAACTAATCAAACTCTAAACCGTTATTTTGCTATAAAAAAAGACTATTATTGAGCAGATGGCCAGAGATTGGTGTTAGTGGTCAAACTGGTTAGCTGATTATATAGCTCAACTCATTGTACCTCAATACTCAGGCGTATATTTTCAACTGAGGCAAAATGTTCCTGCTCAGACTGTTGGGATTGGGAAGAGGCAGAGCTTGAGGGACATGGTAGGGTGGAAACATGAGTTAGGACACCGTCATCATTTTCAAATACTGGGTTCTCCCTCAAAGTGTTCTCAAAGGCATAGGGTGCGTGAGTGTGCCTGCGACGTAAAAAGATGAGCAGACGCACACAAAGGCTTTTAAAGCAGCAACCGACACCCTGTGCATGACAAGGACAGGCTATGCAAAACAAATGGAAAACAGGATTCAAACTTACACCAAAGCCACGGCCTTTCTGGTTCTTATGCACTTCTTGTTGATGAATATTAAAATGCCAATGACGGCACAAACGAGGCATAGACTCCCCACGAGGCAGGTGACAAGTAGAGAAGGATCCAGAGGCACTGATACCAGTTCGTTGCAGCGTTCTCCATGGTAGTGCCAGTATTTCCCTACAGGACATCTGCAACAAAGGGCAGAAAATACAGAGAAGACAAACAGTCAAGACAAACAACCCTGTGCCCTCCTGAGGAGGATTTAAAGAACCCTTTTCACCTTAAATCATTCTTCATTTGATTGCCCAATCAGAGAGAGAGCCCATAGATGCATAAGAACATGCATATTATTACGACAATATTTTATTATCAGGTCCAAAAGATCTTAATACATGAATTCAAAAATTTGTATGAATTTCTAACATTTAATATCTTTATCATTTCACTATGAAATCAATGCAAACCAATCTGGTTATTTGTGAAAGACTAGTTTTTAAGAGATATGTCATTAGAGGTTTCAGCTACAACTGCAATCAAGCATTTTCAAATAATGGTATGCAAGGGAATTCAGAGCCGCTCTTTGCCTAACGGCTTGATTTCAGCTACACTGGGGGGGTTTGAGTATTAACTGCCTGCCCATAATCAGCATAAATGCCTTTTACAGCTTGAGCAAATGAGGTTTGCTCAAGCTGTATTTAATGGGAGGCGTAAATTCAAACCGGAGGCTCTTAGCTGCCTCCATTCCACCACTAGTGTCAGAATTCAGGGGAGGTGCATCTCTAACCTAGATCTATCTCATGCAGATCTGCTGCACTCAGCACCAATATTTCCTGATCTTGTTCATTGTCAGACTCGTTCATTTATTCATTTCAATAAAACTTTCCAACTGCTGCTTTTGAATTTACTTTTTAAGAATTACAAAAGCTTCTAATTAAGAGACCAAGATCTTTCTTAAAAAAATATTTTTCTTAAATGTTGAATTTTATTTTCCTAACCTAATAAATGTGCTTAAATTAAAGGTTATAGTTTTTAGAGCTTTTGACATTATTTGCAGTAGCACTGCTAGGTAAAGATAACCTGACTCCGTCAGATGGATTTGCTCTGCATATCCATCTGGAAACCTTCCGTTGAAAAATGGATGACGGAGGAGACTCATCCACGACCTCCGACACTAAACTCTCCTCCTCTTGCATGTTTCCTCTGTCCATAGCGTTCCTTGACAGCGTCGTTTCTAAGTCACCAATTTAGTGCAACTTGGTCCCAATGGAATTTCCCATTGGGAACCTGCTAGCACTAAGTTGCTAACTGGTTAGCAAGATGCTTCCCACAAACCGGCCACAACCAAAAAGCTTGCGAACCTTCCACCACAAGAACCTCGCCCTCTCGATAAACGATCAATCACTTTTACATTATTCACTCGTGTAAAGTTGTAATCTGACTCCGCCAGATGGATTTGCTCCTCATATCCATCTGGAAACCTTCCGTTGAAGTCATTTTGGGAAGGGGCGAAAATACTGGTTAGCTGATTGGCCTATGTTGGTGATAGACGGGCCAAATAAACCAATCAGATCAACGAAGCATATGACGTACTAACAGAGCGACGACGAAAACACAACCACAAGCCAGGCTACTCTTGCCGAAACCAGTCGGGAGAAGAGCAAAAACATCTTTTCCTCTGAGAAAAGCCTCCAGAGCAGTGTTTTGCTCTTCTTTCAGTGAAGAAATACTCTGTAATTCCGATAAAACTTGCTCGATAGCCACGCTAACGCTAGTTTCATCGGCTGAAGCCGCCATGTTCTTCGGACTGAACTGTCGCGCTTCTCACTGCGTCACGCCTCAACCCGCCTCAAAGCCAACGCTGATTAGACGTTCGTTTGGTGAACAGCTCCAAATTTTCTTTAACGGAGAGTCTCCAGACTGATCAGCGATTGAAGCCTTGAAAGCTCGCGAGATCAGGATGGTCTCAAGGGCTAAGGTAAAGATGCATGAAAGATGGAATATGTTAGTATCGCAGGAAAACCCTCTAAAAAAGAGCATATAGATCAAGGTATTCGTTGTTCAGTTTATTCGTACCTGCAGGTGACTCCATGACCTGGGATTATTTCACATATTCCTCCATTCATGCAGTAGTCTGGCTGCAGAGAGCAGGTATTCTGACAGGGCAGTCCATCCACGGTGCTGTAGCCAGGATCACACAGACACTCAGCCTCGTTGGTCAAACTGTTTACCACACAGCGTGAAAACTCGTTGCAGGCCAGGAACTTGCAGGGATCTGCTTGGTCAGCTGAAGCCAGCAGGGTTGAAATTTCACCAAAAAGGGCGCGTGGGATGAAAGCAAGAGCAGAGAGGTGTCTATTAACATATGTGCATTCTCATCCAGTCTATGGGTGAAGCGGAGAGTTTCAAGGGTAAATTAATACTTTCCTGCTTTAACTAAAGCCGTATTTTAATGTACTTACCCACAGTTAAAAACCTACTAAAAGCAAGCGTTCCCTCCATACATTACCTATGGTTTGGTAAGAGGAAATGTAGTTTCCAAATAACAATGATTAACATATCTGAAAACATTAAAACATAAAGTCACTACAAATAGCACTTTTGACTTAAGCTTGGTATTCAGGATTAAACAATAGAAAGATGCTTGGATAGCACCTAAAATAAGGGTACCAAAGCCTAAACTAAACCACTGCTGCCTAAAATAACATGAACTGAACTTTGTAAAAAGGTGTGGGTTTCACATGTTGCTGCCTACTAATTAATCAGCTCTTTACTCACTCCAGAACCACCAAACACCATAATGCTCTAATTTCCTCATTTTTATATTATCAGTGGCATCAAATACTTGTTTCAGATTAACAAACACACCAATTACAAGCTACTTTTTTTATCAAAGGAGCTGCTGACGTCTTCTAATAATACCATCACTGGTCTGATGTTTAGAGTTGGCATGCTCTTGATTTTGGATAAATTCAATTTTATTTCATGTATCCGGCGCAGTAGTAGTTGTAAATTAGACTGCTGAGTAGTTTCTGCTCTACCGTCTTACAGCATAATAGAGGATTGAGTCCTCTGCATAGAGAGTTGTACTACACCTCTTAAAAACATATAGTAATTTATAAAAAGCAGAGGCACCAAGCTACTGCCCTGTGGCACACCACACAGGTCAAGATAGCAGAAGACTTTAGTGGAATGAGAGCAAATTTATATGCTTACCTATTGCCAAGGCATGAACTTGTAACTTAAAAGCAACACTAATTGAAACAAAACAAATACTTTTTTGAAGTGGCCTAATCAAAGTCTGCAGCTTAACTTCCACTTGGTCGCTGGTGCACCGTTTTCTGTACAGTATTTACATCAAACACAGCAGTACGCTTGAAAATAACACCATTTAAACTTTTACCAGTAAAGACATGTTATACATCTTTGGAAAGCTTTGATTCTCCACAATTCAACTGCCAAGTTAATTTTATGGAAACCATAAGCACCAAAGCACAGGTGATAAAGATATAGCAGCATGTTTAATCAGAATTTTTTTAAATAAAGCTTCAACTTCCTTCCTTAGAAGAGATCCTGAGGCCATATTATAAATCCAATCTGAGATTGTTTATATTCTATTTGTTCGTAAGGGTCTAAGAATAAAAAGAAATTCAGCATATTCGTAATAAACAAATTCAATAATGAGAAAATCACCACATAATGTCAATTTTTTACCGTCAGAAAAGTTTGGTCTTCATAGCTAATGCTAACCTTCTGCTAATTACCATAGCTTACACAAATATTTTGGGTCAAAGTTGAGTATGTTTGTTTTCTTTACATTTCCTTACATTGTCCCCATCCCCCCATCTCAAGCCCCCGTTTTGAGATTTGACGCCGGGACGGCCCTTGAAGCATCACAAGCGCTCCCTCTTAGCTGCTGTCTTTATGCATGATTCCCCTCATATTATGCTTAATAAAGTCTGGCTGCTATTAATTAAGTCCACATGCAATGTTCAATTCAGTTTCAATTCAGTTTATTTATATAGCGCCAAATTCACAACACATGTCATCTCAAGGCACTTCACAGTTCAACCAGATCATACAGTCAAATTGATACAAAGTTTTCTATCTAAGGAAAACCAGTTGATTGCATTGACTCATTGACTCAAATACAATCCCTCACACTAAGCATGCTTGTAGCGACAGTGGAGAGGAAAAACTCCCTTTTAACAGGAAGAAACCTCCAGCAGAACCAGGCTCAGTGTGAGCGGTCATCTGCCGAGGCAGACTGGGGTTCAAGGAGACAGAAGCAGAGATACAAAAAGCAGCTCTAAAAGGCGGCCCCGTCCAGGAAACAATGTTCGGCTCTGCAGCAAATTAAATCACCTTTAAAACAAGGGTAAGCATGGCTAATTTAAATAGTGCAGCCCAGATATATAGCTGGGCTTAAACGGCACATAGGCAGATCTGATCCTGCATCATTTCACACTGTTAAATAATTAGATGAAAAATGTTTGTGGCCATCAAAATACTTCAGTGTGATTTTTAGGGTAAAGTTGTTTTGTAAAAGGAATAAACACAATTTGGAATCATTTGGCATATTTTGGAGAGGTTTGGATAAGCTGATGACTCCAGGAGTTAAAAGGCCTGTATCTCTGGAACTGTTATACCTACATGTCTGAAATTTTTTGCATTTGTTGTTGACTTCATGCAGAATAAAAATAAAACAATAACACATGTCTATTTTCAAGCATGTCTTTGTTGCAGCTATTCACAAAAGACCTATTATTTTCAAGAAGAAAAAAAAAGTTTTTATTTATATATTCAGAAACTAGAAGGTATTAGCTTTTAAAATGTAATATGGGCTTACAGTTCCTTAGTTATTTGCTTTTCTATTAGGTTATGCAAAAAAAAGTGATGATTATTTAAATTTAGGTGGGTGTTAAGAGGTTTTAAACATATCAGACCTGCTTACAAAAACCTGTGGTTGAAATAAAACAATTCTTAACCACAGCAATCTAAAACCCTTATTGACGCGTAAGCATTTTAGAGAATCATTGCTGCCAAACTGGGTCTAACAATTTATTATTCTAAAGTGTGAAATATATTTTCACACACAGCCATGTTTATTTTGGATATATTTAGCTCATTATATTTTGTCATTTATAAACCACTTGTTGTTTTCACTTGAGTTATATTCATCCATTTTCCATCACGCTTATCCCTCCAGGGGTCGCAAGCTGTCTACGGGGAGAGGTGGGGTACCCTGAACAGTTTTCCAATCCATCACAGGGCAACACAGAGACAAACAACTATTTACACCTAAGGAGAATTTAGAGAAGCCAATTTAAACTAACAGTCATATTTTTGGACTGATGTAGGAAGCCAGAGAGAGAGAGAACCCATGCATGCACATGGAGAACATACAAACTCCATGTAGAAAGATGTTGGTCAGGATTTGAACCCAGAACCTTCACTGCAAAAAATTCAAATCTTAATAAGTCATTTTTTCTTAAAATAACTGCATTTTTTATTGGATTGAGGGGGTAAGTGAGACACTTTCCCAATGGAACAAGACAATTTATATTTAAAATAAGAAAAAAAAATTGCATTGTCTTATTTCAAGTGCATTTTTATTTTATTATCTTATTTTAAGAGTAAAAATACTCATACCATTGGCAAATCCTCTTATTTATCTACTCAAATTAAGGTTTAATTCACTTAATTTAAGAAATCTTCACTTATTTCTAGATTGTTTTTGCAGTGTTCTTCCTGCAAGGCAAGACATTTATCATATAAATATAACAACATTTATCTAATTAGTTAATATGTTTAATATTTACAAAAAGAAAAAAATAAACAAAGATCCTTGTTATACTTAAGAGACAAATAGAGATGACAAATGATTGTAAATATCTCTTTTCTAACTAGAACAAATCAAATGAAAAGGTTATAGGTGAAGAGCTTTACAAAGACAAGCTAACACTTCACTAAGACCTGCTCACCTGGTTCAATCTCCAAAGATCGACTGTCAATCTCAATGTCAAGCCGATTAGACGCCGCGTTGCAGAAGTCCTCCAGCACGCAGTGCACAGCTTCTGTGACGTTGTAAGGTACTGGCTTGTCCAGTTTCATCCTGCTGTTTACTACCACACTCCCATTCCTGAAGTTTAGAATCTCCAGCTGCTTAAATCCAGTCAGATTGGACTGTAAATATGGCAAAAGCTGTGCAAAGACAGAAGAGAGATCAATCAGGTGCTGCTCTTAGAATGTTCAAGGATTAGTAGTATAAAAAAATTATTTCACTCCAAAAACAAACATATTTTAGTGATTATAATGAAGAGAAAATAGTTCTTAATTCATCTGAAGAAACTGACTAAAGAATTAATGCAGAATTTGTTATTGTTTCAAGTCAGTTAAGATTTTTGCTCCGTTAAAAAAAAAAAAAAAACAGAAAAACAAATTTGTAATGTTATTTATCCTCCCTTTTCATGCTCCATCAGTAACGGCACTCAAGTTTTCATTTCACAGTTGGTTTTTATTATTCAGGTCACATATAAGAGTGAATCCTATGAATAGTTCATAATTAAATTTTGATGTGAGCATGAAAGGCTGTCTTTGCTGCCACTGATTGTACAATTAGATGCAGAACAAAATAGGAGTTTGATTTATAAGCACTGGTGCAGTGAAAATACTAATTCTGGATATTAAAACGATGTGAACAAAAAAAAAAAACATGAAAAAGATGAGATATTTAATGAAATGTCTGCCTGACATGAAAGCATTCTCAAACACAAAAGCTATTTAGATTAAATAATGTGCTTTGCAGGAGCAGATTCAGGCATTCAGGTAAATAAACCCTTTACTCAGTTATAAAGTTATAGATTTAAAGCAATCAATATAGAGAAAATATATCGGCTCCACACTGAGTCTTTAAGAAATTGAAAGGGATCTACTTTTAGATCCGTTTTTAAACTAAAATTTATCTGGACTGTAAAATCAAACCCGGGCAATGAAATATGGATTTCATAAGCAGAGGTGTCAAAAGTAATAATGTTTATTACTCAAGCAGAAATATAAATCCTGCTGTTTAAAAATACTCTTGTAGAAGTTAGACAATCAACTTATTAACTTAAAAGTGTAAAAGTTCAATTTCTAAAACTACTTGAACTATAAAAGTAAAAGCAATGCAGTAAAAAATGTTAAAGACAGATACTTTAAACTTTACAGGAAAAAGCCAGTAAATTAGAATATTTTGAAAAACTTGAATGCATCAGTCTGTGTGCAATGAATAAATATAATGTACAAGTTACACCTTTTGAATGCAATTACTGAAATAAATCAAGTTTTTCAAAATATTCTAATTTACGGGCTTTTACCTGTATACTAGTTACTGCGCTGCTGTATTAAAGGAACATTTTTCTACAAATCTGGATGATAACTTCCTTATACTTAATTTTCTTAGTTTTAAAACTAATGGTTACAGTTTAACTTTGAACAACTATTTATTTTTTGCAGCATCGAATCGAAATACAAAGAAATGAATTGTCTGCATTAAACTAATTACTTTGATCTTTTTTTTAGAAACCAACAGGCCATATCAAAAATGAACTTTAATTAAAAAAAGAAATTGAATAGTCTATATTTAAAATGTAAGGAGTAGTATGTAAGTGGTAGAAGTAAAACGTTTTCTAAAAAAAAATAAAGAATCCAGTAAAATATAGACACAATTTAGGAAGCTAACAAAGTATTTGTACTTTGTTATTTGACACTGTTGTTTGAAAGCAAGACTTTACAAAATCTATCATTTATTAAAGAGCACTATTGAGCCAACAATTCTTTGAGTTTCAAAATATTTTTTCAATAAAAAAAAAATCAGATTTTCTTGGTTTATAGTATAAAAGGGGTATTTGAGGATAAGATCCCTGAAACTGTGTAAACTGAAAACATGGTTTAAATAAGAAAAACTAAATTACCTTGTTCCTTTTCCAAATTGTCATCTGTTAGATTAAAGGAATA